CCCTGTTTCCTTTCTCAAGGAGCCTCTCCTGCCTGGCACCATCTCCACTTGGCTAATTCCCCTTGTGGCCCCTCTATTGAACTGTTGTGTTGTCCATTTCCCTGTGACAAGAGCTCTGGTTACAGAGTTATTGATTGGTTTCATATAGACAGATGGGCCCTTCCTAGGCTACCATCGAAATCCCTGGCTGTATGGGCTGATTGTTGCCTCTCTGGGTGTAGGATTGCACCAGAGACCACCCTCCACGCAGCCTCCTTTGCCTGGGCTATGGATGGTAATAAATGGCAGCAGCCTGAGCAATAATAAAAGCATTTGAGTAGGTTACCTGTGCAGACACAAGATTTATGCCACTTCATTTTTGCTGTGATTGTTATATTGAGTTCTCAGAACAGCTGATGCTTTATTTATTTGTTTGTTTATTTATTTATTTGTTTATTTGAGGTTCCTCCTTTCTTTTCTTCTTGGCTTCACCTCCTAAAACCAACCTGAATCTTTTGTTAGGATGGCCCCATGTGTTTGCTTCTTCTCAAAAGTTGCCAGCTGAGATACAAACTCAAGACAACCAGCCACTGAAGGCCTATATTGTGGCCTGCATACACAAGAGCCACCCAACAGGGAGATAATCAGGCCAGCACCAATGCTGGCCAAGAAGCCCAGGCTAAATGATTGAGGAAACAAAGGTGGATTTTGACAACTCCAGCTTGGGTTAAAGAATCAGATCAAGGACACCTAGAGTATTTAGCCAGTAAAGGCGCCTGCTGCCAAGGCTGACAACCCCCATTCGATCCCCAGAACCCACATGGTAGAAGGAGAGAACTGACTCTCACAGGTTGCCCTCTGACCTGCATATATGCACTGTGCCATATGTGCTTCCCACCACACACAAAATAAATAAATAAATTAATTAATTAAAAAATGTAATTTAGATGTTTTTTAGGAGAATCAGATCAACAGTCAGTCCTTTTCAAATGTCACTCTAACAATGGGAGGCCTTAAAAGCAGAGAAACTCTGCAGAAAATGGGTGAGCAAGGTTTCTGAGACAGAAACTGTAGAGAAGAATTTATCTGTGGTTCTTGTATGCTAGGCCTAGAGCCCCTAAGGCACATTCTCTTTCCTTATTTTTCCCATTCCTCTGTATAGAGAAATCTTTTTCTTAACTTACTGACTCACCCTGGCTCTTTGCCCTAAGACCAACAGTGCTGACTACCAAACAGCTTCAAGGATCTAGAGATGTGGTAGGCAACGCCACCTCTCTGCCCCAGCTTCAATGCCAATCTTGGCCCAAGATTAAAACTTACAATTTCAGAATGGCAGAAACAGACCCTCATCTAGGGCATGCCTCTAGCACTTCCATGGCTATGATTAGTGACTATCAGCTTGCTTGGAAAAATAAGTGGTAGATTACTGCCCTCTTCCAGACCAATGACAGACCTCAGAATTACACAGTGGGGACACTCGAATGACACAGACTGAGATAATTTAACATAGCATTGAGTCTGCAGTCTTCTGGAAGCCAGTGTTGCTGAGAGGAATGTACCCAAAATAGGCTAAGGGAGAATATAGGTTGTGGGTGATCTTGTGAGCAGTAAGGGTCCACTGTAAAGATCTAGGGGTATGGAATCCCTGAACCCACAGAGTGTTTAACTAGCTTCAAAAAGCTGATCTGCTGCCTCAAGGACTATAGTAGTAAAGGATCTTCAGCAACCCTAGACTCCACCTGGAGTGCATGCTGTTCTTTCAAAGAAGCTATGGTCTTTGCCCAGAGCAACAGTCGAACCTGAAGACTCTGGCATGTCATCAGGAATATCCTTCTTGCCTAGTCAATTGGTGAGCCTGATAATTGGTAACATTGCCCCCATTTCAGCACATGGATCTCCCTCCATCTCTACCTAACCCCAGACCATTTCCCACACAAAGCTTCAATCTGAAGTCACCTGTTTATAAACACTGTACTCCATAGCAGTGCTATACAAGCTAAACAGCTGGCAACTCCACACTCAGCGATCAGTAGCCCAAGATTTAGAATGTGTGTAAAGTCCACAGCTCAAGATCTTAGACAGTGGTCTCTAGGAGTGCAGGGTTCCCTAACCCATGACTTTGGCTCAGAGAGACATTTCTACAAGGATCTACCAGTAGCGAACTCAGGTTGGACAGCCAAGTATTTATCACAACAGGATTGAAGAATGCCAAAATCATTTTTAAAGCATGAGAAGCAATTTAGTTTATAGCTATAATATCATATTTCAAGTGTAGCGACAGCATCTGTTTGGGGGGAGGAGAAGATGAAAACCTTTGGCTCAGGTGAATGAACAGGTACAGATTTCCCTTCTTACCAATACTGGCTCCTGAATACCCTTACTTATAACATATATTGGACAGCCTACCAACATCAAAGCTCTGAACTCAAGAACTCCCCACTTCCCAGTGCATACCACGTTCTCTACACAGGAACATCTCCAGGTCCTTCCTAAAGTGAGTGAGAATTCTCAAAACAGAAAAGCCAAAGTTCAAGGCACAATAAGCACCAGGAGAGATGTCTTGCCTTTAGCATTTATGTGAAGCACCTCTCAAAAAAAAACCTTCCCCTTCAAGAGCAGAGCAAACGGAACAACACTGAGGGCTGAGGTGCATAGATGTGTCTCAGGGGCGCACTGGGAAGCCCCAGCAAGTCGGTCCAAAATATGAATCTTGGGAGTATTCTTCTAAAAACAAAACATAACAAACAATAGCAACAAAACCCCCAGCCTGATTGATCTTGTTGACAAAGCAAGTGGTAAAGTTTAACTACAGAGCCAGAACTGGCTACCCATCCTGCTAGTGGCTTTCTTCTCCTGTCCCCTCACTCCCTGTCCACCTTCAGCAATACCTACCCAAAATATCTCTTTCTCTACACCCTAAGGGAGCTTGTGTGCCCCTCAGGTGACAGGGTCCCATACCCAGCCAATTCTATGGCTGTCAGCACTGTCAGGCTGGGACTCTTTTCCCTCCTCTGATCTCCTGGACTACTTTCTTCTCATTCTGATGGGTGTACCTTCAGGCCTCTGGAGCTTAATCTTAGGAGCACTTGTTCCCTGATCCTGATGGCTTTCTAGGATGAAATATCCCCAAACTTGTGCCTAAGCCAGCTTCCAAAAGTAGCTCAGCCAACTAAGGTTATGTGTCAGAGAGAGAGGGGACAAGGAGGATGCTAAGCAGAGCTGCTACCACATCTCCGTCCTTTTCATCGCTCCACTTCTACACCTTATTCAGGAGATGCAACTCACTTTAACTATAAAAAGCCTGCAATTCCCATGGCTAACAATAAGGATTTCTCAAAAATAATCTCCAGAGCACCCCTACTCAGTCCAACCACGCTGCCCCTCATCAGGGCCACTCTTGGCCCAGCTGCCCGCCTCAGTTCAAACTCACTGCAAGGACCATCAGCCAGTCTAGAGGCAAAGTCTCTGGATAGCTCAGAAAACAATGCTTTGCCCCCTACCCCTCTCTAACTGCCACTCTTGCCTCAGCCCCCAAGCTTCCTTAGCTTCCACCTGGCTTTTAAATGCAAAGCACTTATTCCTTTCTCAAACCACCCACTGTTTTTCTTCAGCTCCTTTGGAAAGTGTCTGAATGTCAAACAGCCATGTTTCCAATACCTGCCTGAGCCAGGCCAAGGGAGCTGGAGAGTTTTGGAGGGTGTATAATTAGCTGATCAGTATTATGTTACCCTGTTCATAACTGAATAACCATTTTAATACAGATGGCACACACTGGGATAATTTCTGGGGTCGCCTTGCAGTATGTTACAGCATGAGTGTGGCAGAGGGAATCTTCTTTAGCCAAGGTACATTCTACCAGCTAATTTTACCTGCTGTTTTCAGGATGATTTGGGATCATTCCATATCATTTGCAAAATATTAAAAAAAGATAGGTGATGCCAGTTTCAGGAAAAGGCACCATCTGAATTACTAGTTGTCCTGATAATGGGACTACGAAGAGTACAAAGAATAACAGAATATGAAACTCTCAGCCCCCTTTTCATTTGGAGGTGCCCTAGAGTTGGGGGGACTTCTGTGCCCTAGGGTCTCTGCATACAGCTGTCAGGTTGTGTAATTCTGCAACTATGAAGGCAGCCTGGGTTCCTGGGCTACATCCCTGCCTGAGTGCTCTGCAACCACCCCGTTAAACACCCAGACACACTGGCTGAGGTGCATGCCCATGTGGTCTTCCAGACAGCATACTGGAGTGGTCTGGGATTAGGAGACCTAACTATCCTGTAAGTTGAATTGACTGTGGTTTGTATGAGTCTCCATGTGCCTGAACCTATCGTTAGTACAAAGACTTCAGCCTCAACATAGGCATGCTTAGCAGTGGGGGCATCTCCCAAGAGTCAGTCACAGGATCCCAGTTCTTACTCCCTGCTTGGTATCCCAGTTCTTGTTCAGGTCCTCTATGTTTGCCGAAGCCTGGCTGGTGGCTGGCATGTGTTCTTCAGGCCTGGATGCCAGTGCTTCTAGGCCGGAAATTTGTATGGAGCTAGTTAGCAAGACCTGGGCTCCTGGGAGGTATACTTTGTGGGAGATGGCCCGGGAAAGTAAGGGAGCCAGGGCTGTGCCCTGGGGAAGGGCACATGCTTTTAGAAAGAGAAGTCTGTTTGAAGGCCATGAATAGACAGTGGTCATTTTAAAGGCTTTGCTATGGGCTATGATTGTTTCTAGATCCCGAGGCAGGCAATCTTGGAGTCTTAATTACCACAAACACTTGGATTCATTTCCAGGACATGGGCAGGAGAAGCCTGGCAGGGAAAACCCAGCTCCCAACTGGAGACAGCCCCGTCTGTCTGTCTATCTGTCTATCTATCTCTGCCTCCCAGGTTCACTCTCGTTGCCCAAAGGACTTCAGGCTGGGAGCTGGAAGGATGGAGGCTGGACATAGAGTAAAGATGGACCCTAGGAAATGACCCGGCAGCCAGGAGTAGGGAGCTGGAATCCTGCCCCGCAGGCCCAGGGGGCGTGCTCACCTGTTGATGGAAGAGACGCTAGGAACTGTGTCGTTGTCACAGATGCCCTCAGCTAGCAGCCGGTCACGGATCTCCCAGGCGAACATAGTTGGGTTCTGTCGCTTGTATTCGGCAATCTTGTCTACCACTTTGGGTGTTGCCACCTTGGGCTTGGAGCCACCAATCACTCCAGGCTTGATGCTGCCAGTCTCGTAGTACCTGGGCCAGAAAGGCCGGCAGGGTCAGCACGGAGCCGATGATGGCAGGGGCAGGGGAGCTGCAAGCTGCAGAGTCGCTAAGCCACTCTCCCTCCCTAGGCAGCAGTGTGAAGGCAAAAGTTCCAGAGTAGCTGAGCGGACTTTCAGAAGATGCTTGGCTAGGGTGAGTTAGGGAGGAGTGGAGGGTGCTCCCATCTGGGAGACAGAGTAGCAGGTAGGTGCACACCAGCTAGAGCAGGTGCCCCTGGGAGTGAAAGTCTGGCTTTCTACTTGGGGAGAGAAGGAACCTGGCTGGGAGGGCTGATCTCCTCTGAAGCACCATCTCCAGCTCTTTCCTTCTGAGCACAGAATCTTTGTGGGAACCAGGACTCCCCTCCCTTTTTGCCTTCTAAATGCTGCCTTTTCTCATCTTGGAACCCCTTTCCTTTAACCCCATCCACATTTACTAGCTAGAAAAAGTTATTTCCTTTTCTGAATGTGGCTACCTCCCCTGTAGAGCCCTGGAGCTGGATAGGCATTGGGCAGACCCTACTACTCCATCCTCCCTCCAGGACTCAGCCGCCACATGAATGCCCTTCCCAAATGGAGCTATTAGTCTGTTAGATCCCACCAGTTGGCACTTCAACTTTTAGCCAAGTCCTCCGCTGGGAAGCACGCAGGGTGTCTCCCCGGTAACACCCAGCCCTCACCTGCCCAGGATTTTGCTGACACAGCCATGGCTGACCCGCAGCTGCCGGGAGATGTCACAGGGCCTCACACCCTGGTGGGCCAGCTCCACGATGCGCTGCCTCACCACGTCGGGTAGGGGTCGGCCGTTCACAAACACCCCCCCTAGCTGGTTCACACCCCCGTGCCCTGCTGGGGAGAGACAAGAAAAAAACACAACACCCCACATACAGCAGGGACCAGCCATTAGTCAGGGTCGAGGCCCGCGAAGTGCAAAGGGAGCAGGCAGGGCTAAGGGACATGTCTGGGAACTGGCGGAGAAAGTGTTGAGATCGGAACCCCTCAGGCTGGAGAGGAGCCGGGAAGCTGAGCTGGGGAAGAGCCCGACTCTCAGACTATTAAGTCGCAAGGGAGAAAATGCGGGAAGAGTAGAGAAGCCAGGAGAGAGAAAAGATGAGAAAGATGAAGGAGAAAACAACAAATAGGGAATTAATGTCAGCTGAAATGAATGCAGGAAAGCGTGGAGAGGAAGTGTGTCCAGGAACGGATTTGGTGCGAGAAGGAACCTGCCTGCACCGCAGGCTGGGCGCGCTGCCTTTTCCAGCCAAGGCTAGGAGCCCGATGGTTTTGGAAGGTCTGGGTCCTCTTGTCTCTGCTCATCGGAGTCCCAAGCTTAGAGAGGGGCTAAGATACACACACACACACACACACACACACACACACACACACACAGGCTTTGCATCTTTCCTCCAACTCCTCCCTTGTATTTATTTTTAATTGGAATTTTACTGCCTGTTTTTTTCTTTCCCTTCAAAAAAATTTTTTTGATTGGGAGTTTTTCTTTCCTCCATGTTTTCTATCTTTAGAAATTTGGAACCATATTCCCTCCTGACTCTCTAATGTCTAAGTGGGAAAGAAATCAAGGTGGAGAGGGAAAGGCAGAAAAGGCTCAGAGACCTGGAGACTACCCAGACCAGCGCTCTCCCGGCAGCGGCTGAAGAACGCAGATTGCTGGGGTTCACTTGTCCACCGCGCAGCACCCGTCTTGGGCCCAGCGTCTCCCCTACGTCTCTTGGCACAGACTGCCAAAGCGGGTTTAGGATTCACTGGGCACCCTGTGCAGTCGGTCTAAGCCAGTTAGTGGCCCTCTGATCTCCCAGGCCTCCCCAGCCGCCAAGGAAACCAAACAGTAAGGACGGGTAAGCTCCGCTAGCCAGGAGCAAAGCCCTGGATTTCCAATCCGACTTGGCGGGGACTCCCAACCTGGAAACCGAGATGGGCACCGGGTGCCAGGCTTGAGAGCGCTGCCCGGTGCCCCATTCTCCCTGGCCTAAAGCAGCCTAGAAATCCTGCACCCAGAGCGATCAACCCTGTAGCTGCAGATACTGAGCATTCTAATCACAGAGACTTCTAGCTGTAGTCAGGCCAGAGAGCATCCGCAGCCCCTGCCGGGTGGCCTCAAGCGAGTTTCGGAGAAAGCGGGGACTTCTTGTGCCCCCTTCATTTCTCTCCCGCTTCTTTCTAGGGAGACCAAGAACCAAGCCTGTGCAAAACCCCTGGGTAGAGAGGCCTTGATCCAGCAACTCTGGGAAGCCAGAACCTCTTATTTTTTTCTCTCTCATCCCCAGTCACCCCATCTCTGGTCCCACTCTTCACCCCTCCCCTCCCTCCAAACCCCGACCATCAATAATTTAGGCCCCGGGAGAACTCGCGTTACCGGTATGAAAAGGCGGCAGCTGCGGGCAGATTAAAGATGAATAATTCAGCCTCACCGGGCTCCGGGCCCGGCCCCTCGGCCCCAATCTATGGGGTGGAGATTGGAAGGGTGTACGAATGGAGTCCAGGGCGAGTGGTCGCTTCGGGCCGGCTCTGAGTAGGGCCTGCAAGGCGCTACAGCCGCCGGCGCCGACTGGGGCCGTAGCCTCTCGCCAGCCAGTCCGCCGCCTAGCCGGCCGGCACTGAGCCTCTCTCCCTTCCTTCGACCACCTTCTGCTGGCTTTGCCCACCCCACCCCCCCGCTTGGGTTTCGAAGTGGCTCCCTGTGACTGGTCAGGACTCGGCGGGTCCCGGAAGCAATCCGCAAAATAACAGGGAGAGCAGTGGCAGCGCCGAGAGGCCGGCGGCCTGGGTGAACGCGGCGTGTGGACCCTGCTTCATTCAAAAGAGAAAGGCTTCCCAGCCAGGTGGGAAACTCGCGGCGGCCCAAAGCCCCCTCGCTTGATGTCCTTTACCTGGAAATTATTTAGGGAACTGTATTTTATTCCAGTTGTTTTAAAAGAGCCTTCTGTAAATCTAAACATATGCTTGGGGTTGGGGGGGGGACAAAAACAAAAACAAAAAATACAGCTCTCCCTGTGTAGACCACATCTCAAGCACAAATCTAAGCTAGGCTTAAAAAGTTTCCTTGTAAAAAGTTACAAATCATCCTTAATTATTAATCTACAGATGAGGAAGGGTTTTTCTATTTAGAATATTACTTATCTTTTTTAAGCAAGTGAAAATACCTCGCAAATAGTAGGTATTTTAGCTTTTCCATGCTAAGGACTTGGCATGAATTAGGTAAATTCAATTTTCATTAGCTTATTTCCCCTTTGCTTATTTTTCTGTCTTCCTTCCCCCCCATATAATTTCAATTTTCTTTCCTTGATTTATCTTTCTTTTCTCCTCAGCTTTGGCATTTGCTTTCCTTTTGTTCTTTCCCTACCATTTTTCCACTCTTTGCTGACCCTCTGGCCAAGGTGTTGGCTGCATGATCCTCAACAGATTCTCTAGAATGGAGAACTTTCAGGGTCTGGTTTGGAAGGCTCTGCTACTTGCTCTCTTCCTGACTGATTTCCTCTCAGAAGCCCTTGTTGTTTTAGAGCAAGTATCTCCCAGAGCAGAGTCAAGGAAAGATGACCACCTCTGCCAATCTTAGGTTCCCACCTGAAAGGGAAGGGACCAGGGAAGAGGAAGGGAGGTGAGGATGAAAGAAAGAGGATGGAAATATTTTAAACCAGCCCCCAGGAAGCCTTGACTAAGCTGGAAGGAACAGGAGATGCTAGGAGCCGAAGCTCAAAAAGGGGAGCACAACCAAACCACCCTGGTGCTTTTTCTGCCCAATTGTCCTGACAGACGCTGCCCAGGCTAGGAGCCTCCTCCTGGACAACTACAACTCTAAGTTTGAGAAAGGTAAACATGCACGGAGGCAGAAGAGGAAGACAGAGAGAGAGAGAGAGAGAGAGAGAGAGAGAGAGAGAGAGAGAGAGAGAGATCAGCCTCAAAACTGCTGCCAATTAGTCCTCTTCTAGTCCCCGGCAAAAGCTGACTAGAGAATGGGTGGCTGGACCCTGGGCCCAGGACTAGTATCCCGCAAGGTAAGAAGGAGCATGAAGAAGGAGCAAAGGCAGGTGATGAGCACCAGGGAAGGTAGGAAGGCAGGCAGAAAGATAAGCATGGATGGCAGGAAAACAGAAGGGAGAGTGACTTGAAGGCATTAGCAACACCAGGTAAGAGAAACAGGCAGAATAAAAGGAGGGACCGGGAAAAGTCAGAGTGGCCTCCAGGATGAGACCTGAGCGTAGGGACTGGGCCGCGTTCGGGCTAGATAGGGTTGAACCGAGACAGGAGCCGGGCGCCGGTACTCACGGTGCATCGCGGAGAAGGGGTCTGCTTTGCAGTGCATATCCATGGGGAGGCAGAGGAGCGGGAGCAGCGCGGCCGCCGCCGCCGTGTCGCCACGCAAACTCAACTTCAGGACTTGAGGAGAAAAGGAAGGGATGGTGGGGGAGGGAGGGTGAGCGGGCGCCCGGCTGCTGCGGGACACGCGAGGGTGAGGGGCGCGGCGCTGCGCTCCCCGCCGGGACTCCTCCCGGCCCGCCGGGGCTTGCAATCGCAGTGGCTGCAACTTGCCACCGTCGGGGCGAGCCGCTGGGCAGTCAGCAAAGCAGCCCCCGGGCGATGGGCCGGGCCAGGGGGCACTGGGGGCGCATGGCTCGCGCTCCAGCGGCGGCCAGAGCTGAGGCCGGCTGGAGGAGACAGCTAGCTCAGCTCCCCTGAAACCCGGTCATCCGAGAGGCGTTGGTCAGCGAGGGCGCCCGGCTGGGGCGGCCCGAGGGCGCTGGAAGGGGAGCCGGGCGGCTCCAAGTGCCGGAGAGTTGGTGAAGTTGGCAGAGAAGTAGCAATCCCCGGGATGTCCAAGCAGGCGCCCGCGGGAGGGGACCGCGCGAGTCGGCCCCCGCCCCCGGAAAAGGCAGGCGCACGCCGCGGCCGCGAAGAGGCGCGGAGGGAGGGAGGCAGCCGCGGTGCCGAGCGGCGCCAGCAGCGCTGGGCTGGCCCCAGGTGGGTTGCGGCTGGGAGAAGGCTCGGCCGGAGACTGGAGCCTCGGCTCCCGGTGTGTGTCTCTCTAAAAGCTGCAAAGCCCCCCTCCAGACCCCCTCCTCCTCCCTGAGCCGGGAGATGGATGACTTGTCAGACAAAGGCAATAGATTCCACCACTCTGTGATTCGCCAGCGCCGGAGTCCCGAGCTTCGGCAAGGAGGGCCCCGCGCCTGTCACTCCGGTGCCGGCGCGGGGAGGGTAAGGGAGGGGGAAACGGGAGGGAGCAGCGGGCAAAGGAAGAGGGAGGGAGAGGAGCGGGCTAGGGGGAGGAGGAATGGGAGCCCGGGATTAAAACTACACCGAGAAACGAAACTCGCCGATAAGATAAACGTTAGATAAGGATAAAGAGCGGCCAGGCTAATGAATATTCAGGCAACAACAGAGGGCCTCAAAGCGCGCGGCGCTCGGAAGTCGGGTTCTCAATCCCAACTCGCCCAGTCCTGCCATCCACCGGCCAGTGCTCACAAGAACCAAGCCTCCGGCCACGGGTCTCCATCCCTAAGTGTTAACCCCGCTACCCTTAGCTCTGAGCTCCTTTCCGTTCCTTCCTGTCCCTTCCTTCCTCCGTCCCTTTCCCTCTGGTCCATCCTTTTCGCCTTTCCCTCCTGTGGTACCTTCCCACCCACGCACGCCTGATTCTCATTCCGGGGCAAAGTGCCCAGCAGTTAGTCCTCTCCCGTCCCACACGCGATTGCGTGCACCCCCCCCCAATTCCCCGCTGCCTTTTTGCGCCCCGAGTCTGGGCAGTCCAGAACGGTTGGTTGAGAATCGGACTAGAGGCCTTTGACGAAGGACCCACCTGCCTAGGTGGGACCCAACGGACGGCGGGAGAGCCCGGGAACTTGGTTCTTGCACCCTGGGGTAGCTAGCGAGGGGATTGGGTAGGAAGGCAGAGTGCACAGCGGCTAGTCGGTGGCCAGGGAGGATGCGGAAGCCCAAGGCGGGACCAAGGCTGTCTCTCCCCGGCTGGGGAGAAAGAGGAGGCTCCTAACGCGGCCGAGTGCCCCTTGCTATAGCTCTGCGGATCCCGAGCGAGCGCAGAGCGCGCAGTACGCCGGCCTGGCCCTGCTCCTACCGGAACCGCTGGCCCAACCTCCGCAGCCCTCGCCCGCTCTGGCTCCCTCGCTCGCTGGGGTCCTCTCGCACGCACTAGGCAAGAGAAGCCCTTTGTCTCCTAACTGGTTAAGTACAGAATATCCGGGAGATCTTTATGAAATATTTTCCCTAGTCTCATAAATCATCTTGGCACTTCAGCTGATGTTTTAACTCTCTCTCCCTCCTTCGCTCCCTCCCCCCTGCTTCCCTGGGTCTGCGAAAGGGCGGCTCAGGGAAGCTCGAGCTGCGAAGCGCTGCCCTCTTGCCGCCTGGCAGACCTGAGACTCCTTTGGCCGCTCTCTACAGCCCCTGCAGCCCGGAGGAAGGACAGTGAGTGGAGTCCTGCCCCTGTTCCTCTGGCCAAGGCCTTAGCAAGAGATGGGATTAGAGGAAGCACCCACTGGACTCAAACTGACTCAGACTGACATCTATTGCTCATCCAAAAATCTTGATTTTTCAGGATGCCCTTACTCTGTGTAGGTTTCACGCCAGGCTTAGCTGCACAGGATTTTGAGGTTTCTACTCCTTAGGGGGCGTGAGTCCTCTGGGATCCTGACATTTGCACCCCCCCATATTCCTGATCGTGATTCGATTAATCCAACTGCAGAGTAACTATTGGAGAGTTTTTAAAAAACCCATCTCATCACCTCATTTGCCCTCTTTACCCCCCCCCCCCACTTCCCTTGGGCAGCGGTTCAGATTCCCTCTGGCAGGAGGCCGGTAGGCTCGGGGGTCCAGGCTGGAAGGTCAGTGTCTTCCTCTCAAGGCCTGCAGATGGCGCTCCTGGGTTGGGTTTGGCCTCACAACCCCACAAACACACACTAACTTCGTGTGGGGAACGAAAAGGGAGAACAGAGTTCCTGCAGCCTAGAGGAAACAGCTCCCAGGCCTTGGGAGCAAGGAATTCTCAGTTGCTAGTCACAGACCTAGCCTTGGGCTTCCTTCAGAGAGGCAATCAACCCAGAACTGGGGTTGGGGAACACTACAAAAGTTCCTATGGAGAGGAGTCCACAGTTAAAGGAGCCCTTGCCCTGGGTCTCTGAATGTTGACAATCCCATAAGTTAGGTCTTGGGAAGTCTGAACTATTGGAGGAACAAAAAAGAGTGGAATCCCTTGCTCCACACAGATTCAGACTTTTCTAGAATTCAGTATAGTTCTGTTTCAGGTACTATGAAATGTGGGCATGGACAATAGGGATTTTCACCTATTGGGAGAGATCAATTTTTGCATTTTGTAAGGAAGAGGACTAACAATGCACCAAATTCATTTGAAGCTGTCCTCACACAGATACCCTCTCTGAAATGAGTGCCCCCACCCCCTGCTCCTGGGACACTCACTCTTCTGCAGGACCAGTCCCTGGCAGTTCTCTCCTTAGCTCCAGCCAGTTTCTGTCTGGGTCTAGATAGTTAAGGCATTCCACACTGCTGATTGGAAGCCCTTAGCTTCTGCCCAGCCTTCTCTTTGGGCTTCGGGGGTGAAGGGTTGACCTGCAGATTTCTCTCCTCACCAGCTCTCCCACTGACTCCCCTTTCCTGTTCTTTTTCCTGTTCTATAGAGCCTAATAGATGGGGAAAGAGTAGGATAAGAAAAAGAAGAAAGAAGAGGAAAGGGGAAAAGAAAAATAAAGAAAACAACCCAACCCCAAACACAGCCAAGGCTGCAACCTGTCAGGGTTGGTTGCTTTTCCCTGTCAGCCTCTAAATGAACCTTTTCTCTCTGGTGTTTTCAAAGAGGCTTTTCCACACACCCCCCAACCTAGGGGCATTTACACTTCAAACAAGGCGCCCGCCTCCCTGCGGAAATTTAAAGGCAAATAAACTTTTGGGGAGTTGCTCTGATACCCATCCCAGGATTTGCTTCATTAGCCACCTCTGTGCATCTGATCTGCCCAATAAATCTGCCTTGTGGATTTCAGCTCCTTCGCCTTCTCAGCTCCCTTCCCTGCCAGGCTCACTTGGCGCCTGCCGGCCCCACTTTTACCTCCTCCCTTACCAACCAGTTAGGGTCGAGATGGTTCTCTGCTGTGTCTGGCCTATTTTGCCTGTGTGTTAGGTGTCCGAGAGGCGGCAGTCCGCGAAAAGAAGGCCCCCTTAAATACACTTAATGAATAGGTGTCCCAAGCCAGGTGTGACTTGTACCCCAACACGTAATATATTTCTGGGAAGCTTATGCGCGTAGATCCTGTCAACTTCCCACACTTGCACCCGCTCCTTTGCAGACCCTTTTGCTCGGTTTCCGGTTTCCTTGACCGGGAACTTTCTGCCTAGAGAGCAAAGGCAGTGATGTGGCTGCCTCCCTTCTGCCCATAGGGCTCTGACCTCCGGCCCAGGCGCCAGGCCTCAAGCAGTTCCGGGGCCCGGCACGGACCCTAGGGCTGCAGCTGAGCAGCCCAGCTGTGCCCCTCCCCCGTGGCCTCGGCCCGCTTTCCTCCTTCCACCTCCTGGGGAGTAGCAAGGGGAGCTAGGGCCAGAGCTCCGACGGAGGGGATTAGAAATTCCGAAATTAAGTGTATCTCCCCAGGAAATGCTCCCCACAGCGCGGACCAAATTAAACGCATTAAAGTTGGGGGGGGGCTGTTTGGAATGAAGGGGCAAAAAAAAAAAAAAAAAAAAAAAAAAAAAAAAAAAAAAAAAAAAAAAAAAAAAAAAAAAAAAAAAAAAAAAAAAAAAAAAAAAAAAAAAAAAAACTAGTCCGAAGGGAGGACGAGCCGAAGGAGGAAAGAAGCGAGGGTAGCTTTACTTGGCAGCCAAGCTCCTTTCTGGATTATTCCCAGTTTTGGAAGTCACTATCAGCACCAACATAAAGAAAAGAGAAAAGAAAAAAGTTCTGACAATCAAACTCGGTTGCACACCCGCTGCCCACCTGCCCAGCAAGTCCTGGTGCGGCCTGGGAGCGCACACCCTCGGCGGCCAGATCCCTGGCTCTCGCGAGTGAATTTACCCAGGCCCCTCTCTTGCCCCGCCTGACCGGCTCCCGCCGGGCCCTCGCCCCTCCTCTTCCTATTTTCTCCCCTCCCCTCCCCCCTGCCTAGCCCTCTGGTCACGTTGGAGGATGGGTTTTTTTGTTTTTTTTTTTTTTTTGGAAGAGCTTCTGGTACAATATGGAGCACCATGGGCTGCAATTTCACACTCCACAGCACATTCTCCCTAAAGCTACTTTTTTTTTTTCATCTAAGACCCCCTAATTTCTGCTTCCTCGCTCTCTCCCTTGCTCTCCCCCCCTCCCTTCTGCTCTCACTCTTATTTTCCCGCCTTTGTTCCCAATATTTGGGCACCCCCGTGAATCCCGGGGGGCCTGACGGCCGGCTGGCCCCGCCCGCCCGGTCTGTTGGTCCTGTGGAGGCCGCGTGCACGTGCTGGGCCTTTATCCTTCTTAGCCCCTCCTTCCTTTAACCCGGCTTCTCTTCACAAGAGGCTCTTGCGATCTGCCTGGCCCTTCGCAGCCCCTTTGAGGAGCAATGACAATACAAGCCACTTGGCCACCAAAGGGGCCTCTTAGTGGCACGGGTCAGCCAGGTGGCTGCTGCCTGTGGGCCACCGGACTTGGGGGAGGGGGCTGAAAAAAATTGTCAAACCAGAAGAAATAGGGCCAGCATGCCTACAGGGTAGGAGTGGCGGACTCTAAGGTGCCAGAGGGATCAAGGAGATCCTGATATTCCCGGTGCACCTCCTGTACCCTCTCCAAGCATCCATAGAGGTCTGCACTGCTAAAGGGACCACTCACCCCACAGAAAAAGTAGTTGCATAGTCCCTTTGCTGCTTAGGCCTCAGTTTTCTCACCTGTAAAATGGGATCAACTACACTTGTCTCCTCTACTATGGAGCTCACCAATGAACTGTTTGAAAAACAAACATTTCTATAATAGATGAAGGAATAATTGTCCAGCTTTCTGAACACCTGAC